GCTTTTGCCTAGTTCCGGATAGCGCGTGCACTTACGACCCAACTGCACACTTGTTAATCTATTTTGTGTGAGGTATTCTTTGCTGGGTCAAAGATTTCTAGTCCGTGCGGGAGTTTGAGCCGTTGCGCTGCAGACAAAAGTTTCAAAATCATTCATGTTTTTTCTCTTTTTAAAATTTGCTGGAATTCTCTTGAATGAACTATTTTTGGAAAATGAAATAATACTTTATCAGAAAATAGGCCTACATTGTATGCTTGATTCGGTTGGTTCTGGCTGAAAAAGAAGAAGAATTTTTCCTGTGATTTTTTTTTTTTTCGCGTGAAGCAGTTTTGATCTATTTGGAACTGATTGAATCGACCCGGAACTAGGAAAAGTGACATCGGTACTTTTGACGTCGTAAAATCAAAATAAAAAGAGCTTAAATTTTGAAAATGATTTCATGGTCTCTCCATCACTCAAGGTAAACTTTTTAATCAATGTCACTTGAATTCGTGTAGTAGTTGAGCCGAAAGCAGCCTGAATGATGTTTGCTATCCGGAACTAGGAAAACGACTGTATCGTCTAGCCTAGCCCTACCTCTAGAATTAGAAGGCTTCTCTCCGTCAGTCTTCTAGCATGGTGGTTTTTCAGGAGTCAGCACTTTATGGCTTTTGGAAATGCCCTTTGATAGACGAAATACCTTTGTCTGAAATTCCACCTTCTGAAACACAAATCCACCAGAAAAGTTGAGCTGGTTGATCTATAAAGTTCTCTGAAATGTTTTAGAACGATTGACATTTGGATCATGGGACAATTTTTTGGGTGGAAAAACTGATTTTTTTCCTCACTAACCTCGCATTGCCGATCCGACGAATACAGCGGTCATGTTCATGTGTGTTTACGTATGTTTACTGATGGATCTTTTCATCCTTTAAAATTTAAAAACAGTCCACCAAAACTGACAACTTGTCACGACACAACACAGCGTATTCAGCGCGCCAAAATGATGTACATCATGATGTACATGTACATGTACATGTACTATTTCGCGATGCAAAGCATACAATCTCCCCTATTCCAAATGGTCGAGCCGACCTGCTGAGGTCACGCAAAGATCAGCGCACGCGCAACGTACGTAAACACACATGAACATGACCGCTGTATTCGTCGGATCGGCAACGCGAGGTTTGGTGAATAAAAACTCAGATTTTCAACCCAAAAAATTGTCCCATGGTTCAAATGTCAATCGTTCTAAAACATTTCAGAGTTATAGATCAACCAGCTCAACTTTTTGGTGGATTTGTGTTTCAGGAAGTAGAATTTCAGACAAAGGTATTTCGTCTATCAAAGGGCATTTCCAAAAGCCATAGAGTGCTGACTCCCGAAAAATCGCCATGCTAGAAGGCTGACGGAGAGAGGCCTTCTAATTGTAGAAGTAGCCTAGCCCTAGTCTATGGCCCGCACTGAGTAGACTCTACATCCTGGGCCATACGTGCATTGATTGCCAAAAGTGAGGATTTGAAAACAAAAAAACCCAACAATTTTATTTCAATCATTCCAACTCAAACTCGGAAGGTGGGTTCACTTACCCGTACCTCTCAATATTCCCCCAAAATTACGACTTCCCCGTGCTTCCTTCTGGTGAAATTGGTCTCTTAAAAAAAAATAATTTGTCTACCGAATTGAAAGTTCATGACAAGTACTGCAGCGAGTTTAAGTAGTCTGGTTCTCTGACCAAAATATTTCCCTTTCTTTTACATATACACGTGAAGGGTACCGCGTGTGGTATATCATATCCAAAAAAACATCGCATACGTGATCAGAACAGCCAGCCAATCACAGTGCCGCGCGCCTCGATTTAGCATATTATAATTAAGTTGCGTGCACTGTGATCGGCTGGCTGTTCTGATCCTGCATGCTATGTTTTTTTTTTTCGGATATGATACGGCAATAACCAGGCGCATTCCCCTTCACATGTGTACATTAAAGAAAGGGAAATATTTTGGTCGGAGTGGTACCAGACTACTTATACTTGCAGTGCGCAGCGCGATGCCAACCCGGAAATTGTCCCCATCATTTTCTCTCAGCGCTACATTAAAATGTCATTTTGATACGGAGAACCCAATCGTGAATTGACCAATTAGGTAACAACTTACAAAGGAGACGTCATCTTTCCAGTGAAGTATGCGCGGTTGTCATTTTTTTGATGGGGGGAGATTTTATAACCTACCAAAAATGTCCTTTCCCAAAACAAGCAGAAATTTCACATAATTCTAGAACGCGCGTACGGATTATGCAAAATGGGGATATAAAGTCACTAAATATGGTTTAATCTTGCCAATAACATGAATAAGTGCCAATTTTCCATGTAATAATCGTCTCCAAAGTTGCCCCTCCCGAGGAAGAAAAGGCCACGCGTACCCGTGTCGCAAGTGCAGACAGACCGGGTCAGCCAAAACACGAGGTCGGCCTGTAAAACATGTGGTTGGCCAATTGACCACACGCGGTTTGTTGGCATAGAGTGATTGTGTGTACGTGTACACGTACTGTATGGCACTATGCAGTATGGACGTGCAAACATCGCATAGTGTCGACACTGTTTACATCATTATGGACTTGAGTTGCGTTGCTTCATGTAGTTTTTTGTAAGTTTCGTTTCCTTTCTGGACCAAATTCATGCATTTTCATGGTCAGGGGCAACTAAATGACAAGAATACAGCAGTATAAATGCTCAAATATCATGTTTATTATCGTAGTGAAAGTCAAGCTCCCCGCGCTGCTGTCCATGGATCGTTTAGCACCGCGCCGTGCTGTATGTTTTTTTCAAAATGGTGCAAGACTGTGATGTTTCATCTTTTGGTTTAAAATTCTATAGTGCTGGATAGGGACGGCATGAAACTTCATAGTCGAGCAAAAACAAAATCTTTGAAGTATAAGAATTGGGACAGAGGGGAACTAACATTTCCATCAAAAAATAGAGGAAAATGCTACTTCTGTTTCTCGAAACTTCAAGCCTTGATAAAGATAAATCCAAGTGCAGTAGTAGAAAGCAAAAACTGTTTCTGAAAGCTTGGTTTGTCTACTTTATAAGAAAAAATGACTTGCAGAAAATGTACTTTGAAAATTCATGAGTTGGCAACTCTTATCCCGAATTAACCTAATACCAGGCGAACACTACTTTGCATTACTCCGGAGTGCTTCCCAATTGCACAGGTACGTTTATTGTGCGCGCTGATGTTGGATAGCAGACTACGCATTTCTGTGTGTACACAAGTTGCTTGGGAATGGATAATTGAGGAATACTGTTTGGATGATAAAACATGGAGGGATAGGACGGGGGAGGTTTTTTTAGGGATGGGAATTAAAAGGAAAACACATTTTTGGTCTAAACAACATGTACACACAGAAGGTAAACTATATACACTGGGATTTACTTAAAAGACAGAATGGATGATTGAAAAATAATTTTAAAAACAATTTGAATAGTTTGGTGAACAACTAAAAACAAGTGACTTGTGACTGTGACTCGAGACTAATGATGTGCATCGGGTCAGGTTGACCAGGCCAAACCGACCGGAAACATTACACATACAATGTAAACCGAATCCCAACCGAAACTGATCTTAATTCCCCCAAACCGACCCGACCCGACAAAAAATAAGGTAAAACCCACCCGAACCAATCCGAAAACCCCCCCGAATATCTGGCCAGGATAAAGTGCCACTTTTTTGTGCCTGCCCTTAACCACGTGGCATGAATTCTTTTGCAAAACCATCGTCTCTCTCTCTCTCTGTCATATGGTTGATCAAGAGTTACTCCACTGATTGAACAAACGCATGGTATTACCACGCGGTATCATGAAAACTGTTTCAATCTATCTACATGTATTTCACTGTCAGTCCCGATCCAACTGGAGAAATTAATACCGTGGGATCTTGATAGTACGCACGTTGGCCACACCATGCCACAAGGGCTGCAGTCACAGTGTCTGTCAATAATATTGCATCACCTGAATTTCTGTTTCGGTTTATTTTGTTTTTTCAAAAGATGGCTAAACCATCTTGAATTCATGAACGGTCACAACACAAATCATGAATTCATGAACGGTCACAACTTGAATTCATGAACAGTCACAACACAAATCGCAAAGCACGCATGGTAAACAACAGAAATCTGTTTTTTTTTTCCTATGAAAACTTTACGTTTCAATGCATAAACAAACAACACCATTGGGTAGCCAGTCTATGAAGCTAAAAAAAGGTATCAAACATGAGTCAAAAGAGGGCGGCAAACACAAAATTACAATATTCTGAAAATTTTGATTGCCGATGATCGCTTTTACACAGGGCTTAGTTGAAAGGGTTAAGCAAGTTTGGATTGGCAGTAAAGGGCATGTCATGTTTCAAGACAAAGTACATCGTATCGAAGACATGTTGTGGGACTGTCATGTTCACCATGTTCAGTTCCTGAATGTGTCTGTCCATTGGAACCTCTATATCTCCCCCTCCTTGGTGCGCGACTATTGCTGTCTTTTTTTATCCGCGGCCGTGTATGCCATGTTTTCATTCACGAGCACAAGAACTTTCAACTTATCAAAATCAACTAAATGTACATGTAATAGTATACTGGTGTACTTTGCTTCAACAAAATGGATCTTAAATTAAGGTAAAAAAAAAAATATTAAAAAAGGAAAAACGTTCTGTCAGTGGTTCTGCAAACAATGATACAGAACGCAAGCTTTGAAGACAGCAGGACTTTTCTGTATGTACCAAGATTTTTGACAGAAAAGTACTGCTTGCTCCTCCTCGCACAAAATACCTACATTTTGTACAAGTACCGGAATGATATCATTGGCAAAATGACTTATGAACCTGCCTGCTCTGAGATCTGATGTTTATGTACAAAGTCGGTGTTTGTGTCTGCAGGAGTGGGAAATTTTAACATGATGCATATACTAATTGTATTTAAGCTTAACACTGAACTAATTTCTGGCGATCTTTACTTTTTTTTTAATATACCAGTGCGCACAATGGCAAACACAAAATATGGAATCTATGGAGATTTGGACAAATACAAGGATGTGGATGAAGATGAAATCTTGAAGTCTTTGACTGCGGAGGAACTTGAACAGTTAGCTGATTCATTGGATCCTGATGTAAGCTATGCGTTATTGATTGTCTGAAGTGAACATGTAGTTTATTTGTTTTTTTTTGAAGTTCTGTTGTGCAGGAATTTTCTTAAATAAAAAAAGAAAACTATTTTATGTAAAAGCAAATTACTTCATCATGATAACGAGCCTCTAACATGGACATCGCAAAAGAAAAGAAAAGAGAAACAAGAAAAGAAAAAGAGGCGCAAAGTAATAGTGGTGTAAATTGAATGGGTGGGGAGGGGGGCAAAATGTCCCTGCCCCCCTCTAAAACTGATAAATCGAGATAATGTTGAGAAATACAGGATTATTTTAGGAAAAATATGTTTTGCCCCCCTCTAGAAAAAATCCTGGCGACGCCCATGGCCTCTAATAGCTGAAACTTTCTTTTGAAATTTTATACAAAGAAAATATTGTGTTCGTAAACTAATTGCATATGTCAGACATACAATTTGGTTCAAAATGTCATGTGTTTAAGTACCACTTTTGACTATTGAAGCACAATGTATTTTGGAATAACGGAAGGTCCTTTCTCTTTCATTGTGAAGTTGGGAAAACTGTTCAATACAATTCTTTGTGATTTTCATTTTTTTGACCGAGAGAATAGAATACCTGTAGCCAATTTCACGAAACCGTATGCAATAGCGCAATTCTGCTTGCGCCAAAATTTGTTGCATAAGTTGCACAACATTTCACGCTGCGCAACATTTCACTTATGACATGCTTCACGAAAATTGGATAGTTCATAAGTCCTTGACTTGCGCAATAAATTATGGCGTATCTTGCGCAATCATTTTAGGTGGCGTAAGTTGTGGCGTAGCGACTGAAAATGACATATTTTACCAGCAAAACGGGACTGTCGTGGAACCCGTTATTGCACAACTTATCAAGGTTGATACAAGACACTCACAACTTTATGTTTGAAGTAAATTAATTTCTATTTCACTCGTAACATAATTTTTTGAATTGCCGAATGATTCCGAAGAAAGTCGGACAAAATAATTTTCAAAATGGGGAGCTGAGGTGATCCAACGACTGTTTCGAGAACGAACAAATTCACACACCAAACAGCCGTTGTAAATGCTGTTTTTAGCCTTCTTTAGTTGACGAACTAACTGACTGACTTTCTTGTATGGGGCAATTCCATGGGTAACAGACTGACATTTTGGGAGGGGTTTTCACAGTGTATCCCTTCTGTAAGGTTGTTGTAGTAAGTTAGGACCAAAACTCAAGTACATTTTTGTTCATTGCAAGTGCCCCTATAACCTGCAGTTTTTCTTTCCAAATTTATTCTTTTTTGGGGTCTGGTAAACTTATGTGTTGCCATGGTAACAGACTGACACTTGCGCATTTAGCCTTGACCAAGGCTATCAGCTTGTTCCAATACGAGCTTGTTCCTGCTACCGCACACACAGTGTGCCGCTACACTACTATACCGTTAGCCTCAACGACCCTTGCATGTGCTTTGTGTGCATATTTGTACACCCCACACACACTTCCGCAAACAGTCGTACAGTAAGTCGAGGCGGAGGATAGCCTTGACGCAACCGTGGCGAATTCTTTATGTGATTCTTTATATTTTCGGCCAAACTCGGCCAAGAATTTCTGATTCGCATATATTACACGATATCCAATCAAAGCCCGTAAACTTTGACCCGCGACATACATATTCATGAGCCCGCAAATTACCGTAAACACCACGTATGTTCACTCAAGAAAAATGTCCAGGTATTTCAATCCGATTTTAAACCATTTCTCCAGTTTTATTCCAAACAAATGAAATATGCCGCTATATGAATGAACACCTTTTTTTCAAAATGATACTATTTCCAATGTATTGCGAATTGGACAGTTCAAGACAGTTATATCCGCCGACGTTTATTGTCGGTGCAACAGCGTACATTATCACGCCACTACCCGTACCTACCCGTGACATTCTGACAGCGAATGTAGGAAACAGGTCAACTCGGACCCAGGTCAAATCGTACACATTTTATCGAATGCAGGTTAACTCGTATCTATAAGACATGTCGCAACTGTATGAATTGACTGCCATGAAATGAGCTATTGACTTTGGGATGGAAATATACGAATAAAATCTCTCTCCCTGAGTTCGTACCATGTGCAATATATCTCATACATACATGTACGACACATGTATTTTAATGCGTACGTACAAATTGTATGTCATACCTACGACATACGTACGACATGTCAGTCGTAGGTATAACATATAAATCGTATGACATACAAGTCATGCATACGAGTTACAATACATAAGTCGTACGTACGAGATACAAGTCGTACTCACAAGATATGTCGTATGTACGACATAATCGACAAACAAGTCGAACGTACGACTAGTAAACATTCATACATGTATGTTGTACACACGAGATATTAAGTCGTACTTATGTACGACAAAGTCGTATGCGACATATATCGTACCCTGTCGACCCGAAATATAAGATCGTACGCACGACATATATGTGGTACGTACCGTCACCTGTCGACATTATGTCATATGTTTGATATGTCATACCCTGTCGACATATTATGTCGAACCCTGTCGGTATATTAGTCGTACTCTGTCAACATACATGTCGTACCCTGTCGATATATTAGTCGTACAGTTCTTATTCCTCCATGATCGACATATACATAGCTGCCAACTATAACGATTTTTTCGTAATTATTACGAATTGTTTGTTAAATTACGAAAATACGATTTGCCACTAAAACATTACGAATTTCCCATTTTCTACCTAACGAAAAAAAATAATACTTGTAAAGTATCGTTTTTGACCGAAAACTTCTGGCGAAATGTTGCGATAATGGATGGACTGGTGACAAGTAATAAGCAATGCGGTCAAGCACCTGATAGACATAAATGCAGTGTGCGCAGTGGAGTATTTGAGGACCAGACTAAAAATATTTTTCAATGGTGTGCCATTTGTGTGCATCTCGTGGATATGTGGTTGGGTGTGTGTACTGTATGTGTGAGAACTTTTCAGTGGCGATCGTGAGCACATTTGGTCGCTTATTGCCGGGATGAGACCCATCAGTGCGAGATTTTAATCATGGAATTTAATAAGAGTATGGTTGGAATAATTGGTAATAGAGTTTGAGTTTATCACAACGTCCAGAAAAGATAAATCAGCATGCGTTTGCAAGGTATGTTGGCAGGATATTTCTAACATACGGTGGCCCTAAATCATTGTGTGTAAAAACACGATACGAACTCGAAACTCAACATCGATAGCATGCATCTCAAAAAAAAAAAAATGCGCACATGTTATTATTGTTGTTATTTATTTGACTTCAACAAACAAATACAGACAGTAAAACAAAATGAATTTAAAAAAAATTATTATTATTATTATTGTTATTATTGTTATTATTATTTCTTTTAATTATCTTTTGGCCTACAGTACATTATTATTCACAACAAGAATGGTATGCACATGAAACCATGTACATGTACTCGATGTTGGTAAAGCTGGTACATACACTTCTGATTTTTGATCCTTTTCATTTCATTTTCGACCCAAACTATATATAACTATATAAATATTATTGAACTATTATTTAAGATGTCAAGGGGGTGTTTTACAGTAATTATTGTTACTCCAGGGCCGTCTGGTTTATAAACCTTTGGTCGCATTATGCAATTAATAAATATTCATTATTTTGGCAGCCATTATCCAATCTAGTGTTGCCGTAGGATGGCGAAGGTTGTTTGAATACTTCTATATTGACTCAAACAATATTTGTACCAAATTTAAAAGCATTTGAATGCACAATGTACAAATTTTGCCAAAATACTGTTTTTTGACAAAAAAATGCAAAAACATAAAAAAAGTAAAGCGCCCTCTTGTGGTGGCAGTAGCACAACCAAATGAGTTCAACTTTAAGTATCTACATGTACCAACCACCATTCTTGCCAAATTTCAGGAAAATAGGCCGAAGTACATGGCTGAAGTAGTGGTAAGAATACCTTCACCTGGGCCTTTGATTTAACTATGCACTTTACCCACAATGCCTTGCATCTAGAGCCATAGACTTGTACATTTGTCAGTCTGTTACCGTCAGTCTGTTACCACATGCGTCAGTCTGTTACCATGGTTTATTTCAATAATAACAAAATGGTACATGAATTTTCTTTGTCAATTCTGTTTATAGCTTGATGACTACAGAGAATCCAAAAAAGAAAGTTATTCGAACTAATATACATGTAAAAGACTAAAAAAAAATTTTTTTTATATTTCGGTAACAGACTGACAGTGACACATAGTTTTGGTAAAATTTAAAAGCGGCAGGATTTTGGGTAAAATGCAAAACAAATTCAATTTTGTAATTCTAGGCAATAAAACGTGTTTTTTTGCTTAAATTACAAAATTCAAGAAAAATATACTTAATTAATTGGCAAAATATACCTAAAATTGCAATTTATTAAAATTTTGCTTTTTGACCAATAACTGCTTTTTTTCACCCATTGTCATGTCAATTTTGCATTTGATGTAAAATTGAGTGAATTTTTTGTAATTTGTACCTTATCAGCTTCAAAATGGTAGCCAACATGACCATTTATTATGAAAAACAATTTATGACCCTCAGGATGACATTTTCAATCCCATGAAAGCAATACATATAACAGTATTTTAAAGGCTTAGACAGTTAGAGCTGCTCCTTGATTTTGGATCAAGTAATAACTGAGAGTCATCATGGGGACACTGTTATTGTACAGTTAAGAGACTTAATCCTTTTTTGCCCTATAGATGTGACTCAGAAATGACTTAAGAATATCAAAAACAGGCACTGCGAAAGCTCTGCTGTATCTATGGGGAATCAAACAACACTAATAACTATGGGAATCCAGAAAACCATTCAGCTGATTGTACTGATTACAGGAAAAAATTGAACACTGTTTTCACACTATAGTTGAACGAGCCCTGTGGTTATCCTACTAAATTGTGTCGGTGATGTGTTGGGATTCTGAAACATGT